GGGAGGTGAGGGGAGAATGGGAGGTGAGGGGAGAATGGGAGGTGAGGGGAGAATGGCGGTGAAGGGAGAATGGGAGGTGAGGGGAGAATGGGAGGTGAGGGGAGAATGGGAGGTGAGGGGAGAATGGAGGTGAGGGGAGAATGGGAGGTGAGAGAAGACGCATGCACAGATGGAGGCTGCCACGACCCCGAGAGGCGACCCCGAGAGGCGACCCCAAGAGGCGACCCCGAAAGGCGACCCCGAGAGGCGACCCCGAGAGGCGACCCCGAGAGGCGACTCCGAGAGGCGACCCCGAGAGGCGACCCCGAAAGGCGACCCCGAGAGGCGACCCCGAGAGGCGACCCTGAGGGGCGACCCTGAGAGGCGACCATGACGTGTCAAATGTCGAATGTCCCTCCGTGCATGCTCCTTCCGTTTTCAGGCAGGTGGGAAGGATTCGTGTTTGAGGCAGGTGAGCACACTCGGGGTCGGGGATGTGCACGGATGGAGGTGCAGGCAGGCTGGCTGGCAGCCAGTGAGGTCATGAACGATTGAGCACGAGCAGGAGCGACTGAACGAGCACAGATGGAGAACACATTCCAAGAGCACAGCACACAATTCAAAGGCACGAAGGGGCTCAATTCGAAACGGAGAACAAAAAAACATGGCACTCACACACGGCATGGCACTCACACACGGCATGGCACTCACACACGGCATGGCACTCACACACGGCATGGCACTCACACACGGCATGGCACTCACACACGGCATGGCACTCACACACGGCATGGCACTCACACACGGCATGGCACTCACACACGGCATGGCACTCACACACGGCATGGCACTCACACACGGCATGGCACTCACACACGGCATGGCACTCACACACGGCATGGTACTCACAAGACATTAAGGTTCGTAAGGTTGCCAATGGACTCGGGAATGCTGCCAGTCAAGCTGTTGGTGAACAGTTTACTGATAAGACAACAAAGGGTGTGCATGCATGTGTCAGGCATTCAGATAGGGCAAGAGCCGGTGGGCCTAAATCTACACTCAGTTTGACCCAGCCTGATGGACAAGAGGGGTGAGGCTGTGCACATCCTTGTGCATGGAAGGAGGTGCAAGCTAGAAGGCACCCTTAGCCTTAGGCAATGCATGATACAGCAAAAGCAGGAGGCGGCTAGTGAGCACATTCCTAGAGCACACAACTCATGGCAGCACCTGCAATATTTCAAGCAGGAAGGGCTTAAATGGGCCGCAAAGCTCAAGCAGGCATGGCATGGCAGGCAGACACTCACAATTCAGAAAGATTTACGAGGTTGGTGATGGTCTCCGGAATGGTGCCGGTTAACCCGTTGGTGCCCATGTCACTGCAAAGACCACAAAGGACAGCCATGCATGCGTGGAGAATTCGGATTAATCAAGAGCAAGTGGCTCAAGTGCAAGCTCGGGACGGCTCATTTACGGATGAGCCAGGCCACTCGTCTCCAACATTCAGGTCGTCTTCGGTCGAGGCAAACCGGATCGCCAGGCAGCGAGAGTCCGCCAATCAACGCCCCAGAACCTGTTCACGGGCCGAACCGGACCCGACCATACCAAAGCGGCACGTGAAGGGGCAAGCTCTCTCATCTCTCGACAAGACGCCATGCTCTTGACCGCAGACAAACCTTTGTCACATGTGCATACATGCTCGTTCTAAGCCAGCTGGACCTGATTTGAAAGGAGGGCGCATCTGAATTGGACTCGGGCCTGTGCACACCCCTGTGCCACGGAAAGAGATACAGGCTGCCAGGCACCCCAGGCACCCCTTATGGTAATGCATGGAGAGACGGAATGGAAGACAGATGGAGAGCGCATTCCACATGCACACAGCTCATGGCAGCACCAGCAGATCTCAAGGCATGAAGAGGTCGCATATGAGACAAAGGCCAAGAAAGCATGCCGGAACTCACAAGTAAGTGAGCAGTGCGAGGCTGGTGATGGCTTCAGGAATGGTGCCAGTTAACTTGTTGTTTCCTAGGTCGCTGAAAAGACAGCAAGCGGGCATCCATGCATGTATGTGTGGAGAATACGGATTAGGTAAGAGCCGGGGCCTCAGTGGACATTTAAGAAACAACATGCTCGTGGCAGCACCTGCAGATCTCAAGGCAAAAAGAGCCTCAACCTGAGGCAAAACTCAAAAAAGCATGGCACTCACAAGTGATTGAGCTTTGCGAGCTTGGTGATGGACTCGGGAAATCCAGTCAGCTGGTTGGTAAAAAGGTCTCTGATAAGGCAAAGAACGGCATGCATGTGACGTGATGTGAGGATAATCCGGATTAGTCAAGAAAGAGCAGGTGATCCAGCCTTCAGCTTGGCCCGTTGGCTCCGCTCGACTAAGGGACGAGCCAAGCAGCCCGTGCGTCGACTGAGGCGCCTCAAAAGTCAATGAGCGGCCTGGAAGGAATCCATGGACAAGCCCAGCAATGATCCGGGCCCGACCACACCACACTGCACTGCCATGTGCTGTGACGGGGCAAGCCCGCTGGCTCAGCATGAGCTGCCCGGATGGAGACCAGCCAGCCATGTCAGGCCAAGGGCTGGGCTGGGCTGGCCTCGCCTCGCCTCGCCTCGCCTCGCCTCGCCTCGCCTCGTATGCAGCTGCTGCTTTGCTTGTCAGTTAGGGGCTTTTCTAGGATCCACACAGCAGAATAATCGACCACTCCCCGCGTCACACAGCAGCATGAAAATCACCCAAGGCACGCAAACATGGCAGCATAGCATGCTCACATAACTGCACAATCTTAATTTTCTTTCATGGTGACTCTCAAATCTCAACATTGGTTACACGGAGGAGGTGCAGGCTGGAAGGCACCCTCAATGATAATGCACGATGCAGCAACAGCAGGAGAGAATGAATACAATACAGCTGGAGAGCACATTGAAAGAGCACACAGCTCAGCTCATAGCATCACGTGCTGATTTCAAGGCATAAAAGGCTTCAATCTGAGACTAAGCCTGAAAACGCATGGCAGGCACTCACAAGTGACGAAGATTTGCGAGGTTGCTAATGGACTCAGGAATGGGGCCGGTTAGGTTGGTAAACGCCAGGATACTGTCATGATAGCAGCGAACAAAGGGCAGGCATGCAAGCACGTGTGAAAAGTCTGGGTGAATCAAGATCTGGTGGTCCAGCATGAAAGCTAGCCTTGTTACCTCAGCTTGTTCGAGGAACAAGCCAAGCCGCCCGTTTCCAACGTTCACCACGCCGTCCCCACTCCTCAACTCCCCCCCCCCCTCCCCCTTGCAGAGCTGGCCCGTAGGATCATAATAGTTGAGCAATCATTCATCCAGACAGGCCGCAATGCGGACCCTGATGCGCGGGCGTTTCAAGACCAGCTGGTTCATTTGTTTTCAGTCCATGGGTATTCTTTCAAGATCAGGTTCAGATGCTGTTGTAGTGGTCAACCACCCCCCAAGCTTGAATGCAACGTGAGGATAAACCTTGGCCTGAAACCTTAAACCCTAGAAAGCGTCTGCATCACCAAAAAGTACTATCTATGCTGGGCAACAAACGGGTTCAATTTGTCGGACGTGCAGATGGCCCAAGATATTGCAAATGGCCCAATTCGTTGCAATGACCGATTTGTCGCAAAATGCCCAAGTCGTCGCTTAAGTCCAGATTGTCACGAATGGACAGAATCGAATATCGCACGGCAAACAGTCCGTTTGCCCGGGGCGATAAAATCATTTCCTCAGTTGCTTCGCCACGTGGCGCACTCACAAGCTACGAAGATTCGCAAGGTTGCCAATGGAGTCGGGAATGGGGCCATTGAAGCTGTTGTACTCGATGTGCCTGATGGGAGGAGAGAGAAGCACGCGTGCATATGAGTAACGGGTACTGAAAAGCGTAGTCTTCGCATACCTATCATGCAGAGAAGGAATAAGGCAAGAGGAATGGACACTCGCAGTGGGTAGTAGAAGCGCCTCCCTTGTGGGCTTGGATCAGAGACTCGGAACATGAAGGCGTTCCGGAACGAACGATAGAGAGAAAAGCGACGGAACCTCGAAGATTGTTCCGCCGGACGGAAACCCTAACGGTGATGCGGAAAACATTACTAATAGTAGGCGACATTCCGCGACAGGTGGGAGCAGACGTGCAAATTAAAGTCTCAGCGTGTTTCGTCTGAAGCACCCGGACAGCATTTTGGAGCATGATGGGCGTGAGGAGGGGACTCGGAGAATTGGGGCGATGAAGGGTGGGAGAGGAGACGACGACGAGGAGGGAGCATGGCGACGCCGAGAGGAATTTGGCCTACTCTTCCAGCCACTGAAACCCACGGGTCCACTCAGAGGAATTGAGGCTCACATGGACGTTATCATGCCCGTGGCATCGCACGTGATGTTCACTGCCTTGCTGCAGTCCCCGCCAAGCACCCACCCATCCATCGTTGTGTTCCATGCCTTCTGACAGTCCAGCAGCACTCGTGCTGGCGGCAGGCAGAGGGAAGGCCGCAGGGATTGGAAGCGCCGGGAGGGAGGGGATTGGAGGACTTTGGTTCGACTTCGACCGATCCCATTACGCGCGCTCTCCGCCTTGTCCGCAGTACTACGAAGGGCGATGTGAAGGAATGCATTGGTAGAACCTAGTAGAGGAGGTGTCATGACTAAAAACTACACATATTCCTCTCGCGCGCTCGACATTACCAGGCAGCGTCAAGACAAATATTCACCACTATACCCTGGGAGTTGGCAAGGGGAACGCAGTCAACTCGTGGGACTGCGAGACACGTGAGCAGCAGCAGCACACCGAGGGCTGCGAGCTCCATGAGAGGAACAGCTCGCTGGCTTTCAGGGCCAATGTCTTGAATAACAGGTGGAAAATAAGAGAATTATCTTTCTGCGGGATCCGCCCAGGGAAATAGCGGATGTTGATTCCACTATAACTAATGCTGGTAAAGACCTCGAAGCGATGAAGAAGAAGTGGGTGCGTGGGGCGTTGTGGGTGATACACCCCGGTTACAGTCCCTTCCGACTGCGACTCGGTTCTTGAGACGGCTGTGGGTATCGAAGTGCCAGCGAAGTCCTGTTTTGGCGCGAAAGCAGAATGTTCACAACCACACCATATAGAGAACCTCCTTACAATTCCAAAACAGTTGAAGGCTTCGTATAGTCCTAGTTGACTGGTGTAAGGGGTTATTATTCCATAATGTAGGCTTGCATTGGCTAATATGGTCCGATGGTCTCTCGTCAGTTTGGTTTGGCCTACATGTTCACCCTTAGACAAGTCACCACCGCACCATTTTGTCGAGAGAGTTAGGCAAGGTTGGTTGCATTGACGAGAGAGATTGGTACAAGAAACACAACCCTAAAGTGTTATCCCCTATAACATCTACCCCACTACAGCCTACCAATATATATCACACATATATATCATTTGACACACCCCCATAGGCAAAATGGGGGAGAGCAAAGGGTCACAAGACCAGTCAAGAGAAGCAAAGCAAGCTCAGGGTGGATCACAACGTCACCACACATTCTAAGCACAAGCAAATGGCCACAAGGCCAGTTCACATGCAGAGATATATATATGCAGCAATAACAGTACAGTGATGGCTACCTAGCAAGAGCCAGCATGCAGGTATATATATATAGATCACAGTACAAGCAGAGACTACAGCAAGTGTGGAAACGTAGGCACAAGGCCCAACAGAGTACAAAAGCGCTGATGATCACCAGACGGAAGTGCCTTGGTGAATATATCAGCAGTGTTGGCCCGAGTGGCCATGTGGCGAAGACGAAGCTGGCCTCGCTGCTGCAACTCTCGAGCCAGGAAGTAACGCAGAGCAATGTGCTCCGTTCTGTGCTCCAGTCTGTGCTCCTCACACAAGGCAATGGCCGCCTTGTTGTCAACGTACAGCACTGGAGGAGAACGAGGCCGCTCACCCAAGTCAGTCAGCAGGTAGGTGAGCCAGCGTAGCTCCTGTGCAGCCATGGCGGTGGCGTAGATCTCAGCCTCACAACTGGAGCTGAGAACAGAAGACGAGCGTGTAGACTGCCAAGAAACAGAGCCAGAGCCAAGGCTGAAGGTGTAACCCTGTGACGACCGCTGTGTAGTCTGGTCGTCAACCCAAGACGCGTCTGAGTGCCCAGTGAGGACCACCTCACTCCGTCCTCCAAGCACGAGCCCCATGCCCGATATACTGCACAAGTAGCGCAGTACCCTCTTAGCAGCAGCCATGTGCTCTGGTCGGTGCCTACCAGGAGCCACGTAGCGAGCGAGAAGGCCAAGAGGGTACGCAAGGTCAGGACGAGTGCAGGTCATCAGGTACATGAGGCAGCCCACTAGCTCTGGGTAAGGACCACTCGGCTCTACGGACTCGTCCGAAGGTGGAGCTGAGAGCGAGTAACCTGTAGCCAGAGGAGTGGACTGTGCGGAGGACCAGGTGAAGCCGAAGCGCTGAAGAACCTGCTGCACCATGTGTGACTGAGTCAGTGTGATGGTGCGGCGTGCTCTGTCCCGAGTGATCTGCAAGCCAAGGTAACTGCGCAGCTCACCCAGGTCTGTGCACGTGTGTCTCTTCTGCAGCTCCGACTTCACCAAGGCGAGAGCCTCAGTGTCAGCAGTGGCAAAGACCAAGTCGTCGTCGTACACGAGGATGTAGAACGGTGGCAGCGAAGTGTCGGTGCGCAGGAACAGCGACGGGTCAGCTGTCGAAGGAGCGAACCCAAGAGCCGCCAGTGTCGTCCTCAGTGTGTCGTGCCACTCACGTGGCGCCTGGCGGAGACCGTAGACTGGCCGCCGGAGGCTCCACTGGGTACCAGGAGGGAACGACCCAGTGAAGCCAGGTGGGCGGCGCAGCCAGATCTCCTCGTGCAGGCTGCCCTGTAAGAAAGCTGTGCTGAAGTCAAGAGAGTGAAGCTCGTAGTCACGCTGAGCGGCAACGTGCAGCAGCACCCGAAGAGTAGTCATCTTCGGGGTGGGGGAGAAGGTCTGGAAGAAGTCAACTCCCTCTCGCTGACTGAAGCCTCTAGCAACGTAACGAGCCTTGAAAACAGGCGGAGAACCCGGCGGCCGCTTCACCCTGAAAATCCACATGCCATCAACGATGTTCGCCCCAGGAGGGGGAACCTCATCGACGTAAGTGCCTGTGGACTTCCTGGATGCCATCTCTGCGTCCATTGCTGTCTGCCACTGAGAGGAGTGTTCACCCGCGATCGCCTCAGCGTAAGAACGCGGGGTCGGGATGTCTGGTGCATCCGGGTCTCCCTCAGGGGCAAGCAGCATGGCCACGAGATGAGGCGCAACGGCTGCAAGACACTCAAGGTCCTCGTGCCTGTCCTCAAGGACGTCCGTACCAAGAGCACACTCACCCCCGACGGACGGAGGACAAACAGACTCAGACCCAGCAACGCAGGCGAGACAGGACGCGACGCAGGCTCACGACGCTCAGCAGGACTACCAGTCTGCTCAGTGTAAGGAGAAGGAGCAGGCAGCGGCGAGCCAGGCTGTAACGGAAGACCAGTAGACGACGGGAGAGTAAGAACCTGACGAAGAGCAGAGTCAGACGGCGGCAGAGACGACGGAGACGGCGGAGCGAAGAACAGTCGTGTCGGCGCAGCTGCGCCAGTACCGGCAGCTCCAGCAGCTCCAGTCCCAGAACCGACACCTCCAGTCCCAGGGTCTCCAACCTCAGTGTCTCCAGCAGCAACACCCCCAGAACCAGCACCTCCAGTCCCAAGGTCTCCAACCTCAGTGTCTCCAGCAGCAGCACCTCCAGACGCAGCACCCCCAGCCCCAGCAGCTCCAGTACCTCCAGTACGAGCACCTCCGGAACCAGCGACTCCAGCAGTAGAGCCCCGGGCTCCAGCAGCGCGACCCTGACGGCGACCGTACCGGTCCTGCAGCTGCTGTGAGGTGAGAGGCACACGTGGACGAAGGCGGCTACTCCAAGGAGACCGCGCAACAGCAGACTCAGAACCCTCAGCGCCAGCACCCCCAGGCTCCTCACGCGTAGGCTCAGTACCCTCAGACTCGGCACCCCCAAGCTCAGCACCTCCAGGCTCCTCACGCGCAGGCACAGCACCCCCAGACTCCGCACCCCTAGGCTCAGCACCTCCAGGCTCCTCTCGCGCAGGCTCCGCACCCTCAGACTCGACACCCCCAAGCTCAGCACCTCCAGGCTCCTCACGCGCAGGCACAGCACCCCCAGACTCCGCACCCCCAGGCTCAGCACCTCCAGGAACAGCACCCCGAGCAGGACTACCCCCAGCAGGACCGGCAAGGGACTGACAGGTAGGCGAGGAGGCAAGGGACTGACAGGTAGGCGAGGAGGCAAGGGACTGACAGGTAGGCGAGGAGGCAAGGGACTGACAGGTAGGCGAGGAGGCAAGGGACTGACAGGTAGGCGAGGAGGCAAGGGACTGACAGGTAGGCGAGGAGGCAAGGGACTGACAGGTAGGCGAGGAGGCAAGGGACTGACAGGTAGGCGAGGAGGCAAGGGACTGACAGGTAGGCGAGGAGGCAAGGGACTGACAGGTAGGCGAGGAGGCAAGGGACTGACAGGTAGGCGAGGAGGCAAGGGACTGACAGGTAGGCGAGGAGGCAAGGGACTGACAGGTAGGCGAGGAGGCAAGGGACTGACAGGTGGGCGAGGAGGCAAGGGACTGACAGGTAGGCGAGGAGGCAAGGGACTGACAGGTAGGCGAGGAGGCAAGGGACTGACAGGTAGGCGAGGAGGCAAGGGACTGACAGGTAGGCGAGGAGGCAAGGGACTGACAGGTAGGCGAGGAGGCACGGTGCATGGTGCATGGGGCATGGGCCAAGGTGCATAACGCATGGAGGCAATGGAGTGGCAAGGGACTGACAGGTAGGAGAGGAGGCAAGGGACTGACAGGTAGGCGAGGAGGCAAGGGACTGACAGGTAGGCGAGGAGGCAAGGGACTGACAGGTAGGCGAGGAGGCAAGGGACTGACAGGTAGGCGAGGAGGCAAGGGACTGACAGGTAGGCGAGGAGGCAAGGGACTGACAGGTAGGCGAGGAGGCAAGGGACTGACAGGTAGGCGAGGAGGCAAGGGACTGACAGGTGGGCGAGGAGGCAAGGGACTGACAGGTAGGCGAGGAGGCAAGGGACTGACAGGTAGGCGAGGAGGCAAGGGACTGACAGGTAGGCGAGGAGGCAAGGGACTGACAGGTAGGCGAGGAGGCAAGGGACTGACAGGTAGGCGAGGAGGCAAGGGACTGACAGGTAGGCGAGGAGGCAAGGGACTGACAGGTAGGCGAGGAGGCAAGGGACTGACAGGTAGGCGAGGAGGCAGGGACTGACAGGTAGGCGAGGAGGCAGGGACTGACAGGTAGGCGAGGAGGCAAGGGACTGACAGGTAGGCGAGGAGGCAAGGGACTGACAGGTAGGCGAGGAGGCAAGGGACTGACAGGTAGGCGAGGAGGCAGGGACTGACAGGTAGGCGAGGAGGCAAGGGACTGACAGGT